AGTCGCTTCGGTTCTGGCTCCATCCTTCCTCCCCCTTGTCCTTCCCCTTCTGTTGTCCATCCAGTTCCTCTCCCCTTGCTTCCGGCTCCAAAGCTTATGAGGGTTTCGGAGTCAGAGCAGGATTTAGTTGGTGTTGAGACTCAGGCAGTCTCAAGGGAGTCCCCTTCCGGGGTGGCGACGAAGGCATTCAAGCCTGGTCCTCCTGCCAAAGCAGGGGGATCTCCCGCCTTTTTCCGATCCCGAAAAGGGACTGCACAAACCTCCGGTTCATTCTGGACTTGTCTCATCTGAACCCGTGGGTTTATTGCCCCTCCTTTTGGATGATTACTGTCCCAGGTCCATCTTCTGTTAGAGCCGGGCACTTGGATGGTGTTCTTGGACCTCCAGGACGCGTATTGGCACATCCTGAGTCATCCGAGGTTCAGGGACTGGCTCAGTTTTGTAGTGGGACGTCCAGGTTACCGCTTTCGTTGCCTTCCGTTCGACTTGAATCTGGTGCGTCCCGTTTTCACTCGTCTTACTTGGGTCATGGTGGCCCGCCTGCGTCTGTTATGTGTTCTGGCCTACCTCGACAACTGGCTGGTGTGGGCTCCCATCTTGTCCGCGTGTCTGCTCGCCAAGGATTTGGTTCTTTCCCAACTCGCTGGGTTCGGATTCTTAGTGAACAGGCGGAAGTCCCATCCGGTTCCCTCTCAGGTTCGGTCTTGGCTGGGTCTTAAGAGGGACGCTCGGACCGCTTCCTTGTCTCTTCCTCAGGCAGCTCTGCTTTGTCTGCACTTCCACCTCTATCTGTTTCTGAGGGGCTCCCGGGTAATTCGGCGGTTGCTTGAGGGTTTGTGCTGGAGCCTGAACTTTGCCACAATGGTCTACCCACCGAGTCGGGTGTGGCTTCATCAGCTGTTCTGATTCCTTCGGGGACGTCCCTTCCGCCTCTCACGCCTGATGAGTTCGGCCTCCAAGGGGCCTTGCATCGGTTGCTGCGTCGCCTGCTTCCTCTTCTGGTTTTTCGGGGTTCATTGCCTTGGCGCCTACCCAAGCCCTAACTCGATGTGTTCACAAATGCGTTGTCTCTTGGCTGGGGCTTTGTGACCAGTGCTCACCGGGCAGGTTAGTGTTGGCCGGTCATGTTCATTTTTCCACACAATTACAAATGTATTTTTTTCTTGCTAATTCTATGTATATTTAACAGGTTTACAATATTCAGGCAGTAGCACATCTGTACTGTTCAAAGAACCTGTGTTACATGTATCACAAATGTGTCCACAAACATTGTTCTTATTTTCTATATTGCATGTTCAATTCTTTACATTTACAACTTATATACACACTATCACAAACTATATACAACACTATCAATGCACTTAGAACTGAGTAAGTGTGTGATAAGTGAAGCAGTCAATGGGGCACTGGGCAACTATGCACTCAACGCACCAAGTGCAGAAGGATCTTCACTTTCGTTCCCTATGTTGCTTGTTCTTGCAAACAATGCAGGAACATTTACCCTTTTCACGTGTGCCTGTGCTTGGCATATAACCAAGCTTGTGTACAGCAAAGTATTCTTCACCCCTGAGTTTGTCAGGAATGGCATGATGCACTGTTACTGGCACCCCACATGTCACAACACTGCCCTCCACCCCCATACTTCACCAGTAGTTGTGACACTAGAGCAACACTGAATGTACAGATTGGTGGTCTCTTGCCACATTTCACGAGATACGTGTGGAAACAGTTCAACACTGTAACATCAACGAGGTGGGAAACATTTTCTTGGTCCACTTCACAGATTTTCCATGCACTCGACGGCACCAACCATCATGTCACATTTATCTACTAAATGCATATATACATTATAATCAATGACACAGTCAGGTTTATACATTGGCAACCTTGTTGCAAAGTTCACTTTGCCACTGTCCAACATTGCACCGGTGTGAATTGTTGTCAATATCCGCGAGCGCTTTGTCATGGGTTCGTATCCTGGCCGGGGAGGATTTACTGGGTGCAAATCCTTAACTGTAGCCTCTGTTTAACTCAACAGTAAAATGAGTACTTGGTTGTAAAAACGATTCTTTGCGGCGGGGATTATATTCCAGGGACCTGCCCGAAACGATACGCGTACTAGTGGCTGTACAAGAATGTAGCAACTCTTGTATATATATAAAAAAAAAAAAAATAATATTTACCTTGTGTCTGCCCCACCAGCGCACAGATAACATTTGATGAAACTTTCTCAGCTGGCATTCACAAACTGCAATACCAATGCCAAACACTGGCATTTCTCTCCTGTGTGTTTTGTCAGTGCCACATACACCGGTGTTGTGGTCAAAGAGGAATCTGGACAGCAAGGGGCTGGTATAGTAGTTGTGTGTGTACAGGATATGCCTCTTGTTCAGCAATGGTTCCATGAGTGTTTTCACGACACTGCCTGAGAACCTGTGTGGATCTTGACCTGGTGTGTCAACATACCAGGTCAAGATCACACCTCAATACAATATCATGTCCGTGCAACCCATCCTCTTAAAAATAACATCACTTTTCACTGGTACGTGCGCTATGGCCAAAAATAGACGTAATTTGAAATGAAACTGGCTCACGAAAGTGATGTACTGTACTGTTTTCTGTTTGAGTCCTCCGGCTTACTCAGCTAGGTTAGGAGAAGAAACTTTCAATTAACGTTTTCATGACTTTTGAAACTTTAGGAGTTATTCCTGCCTCCTAACCTACCAGAGGACCCTTAACTTATTGTTTTGAAAAAAAAAATCCCAAATTTATTTTAAATTTTGTTTTCATTTTCAAATTAAATTCATTTTCGGCCATGCGAGCAAACAGCCAAATTTAGATGTAATTTGTAAGAGGACAGGTTGGTCCATGACCATACTAGTTTCACAGTCACATAACACGAAAAACTTAAGTCCAAACTTGTGCCACTTTGATGGTATGCACTGCTTGAACGCAAGTCGTTCCTTGAAGAGAACTAGCAATTCATCTATCACGACATTCTGTGCTGGTACAAAATAGTCACGGAACTTTCCTTTCAGTTCACTAAATATCTTCCGCACTTTCCACAGACTGTCGTGTCTGTCTTCATTATCATTGTTCTTAAAGTGCAGGCACCTGAAGAGCAGCAGGAACCTATCATGTGACATGTACCTGTTGAACAAGGGGGTTGGAACAAGGCTGTCTTTGTTCCAATAATTCTGGATCACATGTTTATCTGCATTCCTCATCATCATGCACAACGCTAAAAACACAGACATTTCCTCAATAGTCGCATCTTTCCAACGTGTCAATCGAGAGGCAGGTAAAATTCCAGAGTCAATGAGTTCCAGAGCTTATTGGTTCGTCTCTGCAATTAGATGGTCCATAAATGGCTGATCGAAATATGCCAAAAAATAATCAATTTCAGCCATATCATCACCAGTATAGGGGGAATAAGGGTGTTACACCAACATTTTTATCATCAAACATAGGAATTTATGGGACAAAATTGTCACAATCCTCCCATACAAGTACTCTTGTGTTTTGGGTTTTGGCACCAACACCAGCACGAGCACCACCAGCACGGGCGCCAACACCATGGCTCTGTCATTTTGTGCTAGAGCTGCGTATGGATATGCCAGGAGATAAGGCCGTGTAGTATAGGCCTACCACGAATATCTTATGTCGAGGGCTCACTGTTGTCATTGTCCTCAGGCTGCGTGACACACTGGCGCTTGCCTCGGCGAGGTGCTGGGGCAGCAAAACCCCACATAGTAACACCATAGCAGCTTGCACTCGGTTCATCAACACTGCTTGTATCCGAGCCTACGTCACTGAACCCAGAAAATAACTCATCACCTATACTATCACTCGGTAGACTCATGTCTGATGACACAATCGTGTTGGTATCTCCAGTGGTGTGGATTCAGGGCGGAATGGGAGGCCAGGCGAGGTGCATGAATTGTACACACTCTCGACATCGTCCACCTCATTGTCCCCATCACTCGTGTCAGACGCCTGTGCTAGGTCTTTATCTGGACTGTAGTCTAAATCTTCAGTAATCGGTCCATCATCAAACAATATGTTCCGTATTTCGGCCTCTGAGAGTCGATTTTCAACACCGGGACTGACCGTGGACTGGGAGCTCGTGGATGATGCGTCAAACATGGTTACTACCTTGAAACTGAGGCTCACCACGGCGGCCATGAGGCATGCTGGGATTTTTTTTTAAATGGTGGATGATCACTGGAGGCCTCAGGCACCCATATCGTACCCAGGTCACCGCGCGCCAGCTTTGAATCCTATGCTATACCTACGATTGCCCTGAGGTGCTCTGCGCATCCTCGATTTAGTGCCTCAAGGCATTCTGCGCACAGTACTGTGGTTAAATCGCCATATGATGATATCCACATTATCCTGTGAATCAACAGTTGACGATGACCACTGCCTAAGGGTTAAGTTGTATTCTCATCAGATATTTAATTTTATGTTGTTACGACTTTCTCTTAGGTAAAAAATTCCCTGCAAATTGGTGAAAATGAACACAACTATAAATATACAGAACAGATATTTATGAATAAAGTTATTGATTGATTAGTGTATCCCTGGCAGCATGATGACAAACACTACCATACCAGTGTGTGTAGTTGTACAGTGCTTATATAGCGGAACCTCGAGTGACGAGCGGCTCCAGTTATGAGCATTTTGAGTAATGAGCAAGCCACTCGCAAAAAATATGTGTCGACTGACAAGCTTTCGCCCGATTAACGGGCGTTCCTGCTGGTTCTCGAACACCTCTGACGACAGTTTTGTTGTTGTTTCGCAAGACGAGTTTTCCACGTGACGAGCTCGGTGCCGGAACGGATTAAACTCGTTAATCGAGATGCCACTGTATTAATAATTGTTATCATTATTATGTTTTCACCATATAGTTGTTCAGTGTTTCAGTATTTTTTATTATCGTGTCATCAACTTTAAAATCTGGCATTCTATGTTTCAAATCATGATTGGAAATGTTACAGGTCTCAGGATATGATTTTAAGGCTGATATCTGGTCTTTTGGCATCACTGCAATAGAGATGGTGACGGGAACGGCCCCTTACCATAAGTATCCGCCCATGAAGGTCCTCATGCTCACGCTGCAGAATGATCCGCCAACTCTCGAGACAGGTGCCGAGGAAAAGGTACGTACAATGGCATTAGACGACTAAAACTGACTCCACTTGTCAAAATTTTAATCCATTTCAAAATGTCACAGATTGATTCAGAGGAAATTAAATGGTAGTTATGTGTATTGTTATTCTGACTTTTGGTTAATAGAATATGATTAAATTCATGTGTATATGTAGTATAATGTCCCTAGTATCTAGTGAAAGGTTCTGGAAGTAAGCAGACCAAAACCATCCTCATTGATGAGGGAAAAGATCCGTCGCAAAGACAACAATTGATTAATAAATTGATGAGAGGAGGAGCATGTTGATATGCAGGCAGGATCTTTGAAACATTTACAAGTCTTGTTAGAATAAAATATATTTCAGAACCTTATCAATATCAACTTCTATATAGTAAACTGGAACAAACCAAAATCCTGGACGAGCTTAGAACACACGCTGCTCATATCCAAGGTTAATCCAAGCTGAAGACTAGTCACAGAAATAGATAATATAGATTTTTGACACAAACAAGTCATTAAGATGGGCAAATGAGAGACTGAGTGTAAGGCCTTGATTCAGTTTTACCTCTGTAATACTTAACAGTGCAAGAAAAGATCCTCTGAATGACTGCTTTATAAGCCCCTACTTAGCTCATTCATGACACAGGAGTAATTTATCATTGAAGAATTACAAGTAAGAGAAGTTGTGACATGACGAGCTGCCACCAACTGATGTGTGAGAGTGTGGGACATTTATCACTATGATCCCAACCTGATCCAAGACCAGATGGTGTTAATTATGGATAGATAGCACATATTCACAAGATGGCAATACAGAAATACTAAGGTTTAAAGTAACTATTATGCTATGACACCAACAGCCAAATGTGTCGCCTCAACATCACTGATTTGTCCGGCGCAAGTGGCCACCAGTATGGTCGGGTGACATCATACTGTATTCTCAAAGTAATTCAAATTCTGCTCACTCTTCTGTCTCTTCTGATCTCTGTTGCCTGGTCATAGAATTGTGTCAAGTTTGTGAAGCAAGATTTGCCATCCTTTGATGGTGTTATATGTCATCAAAAGTAACCAGCATAATGTAGACGATGCATCATAATAATGTGGCTGAAGATGCGACAAAAATTATTGTCGTTTCTCTATTTTCTGATGTGTGGTTTGTTCATCTAACCAACATAGCACTTAAGCCATCTATCTGTCTCCATAGTGAGATCCTGGTTTGGACCCACATCTTTAGTCATGTCCAGTTCCAGCAGGTGCCTCCTTCATCTCTGGTAATCTCAAACTTCTCCAGTGCTGTTTCACTTGACACCATCTCCAATAAATAGCCACAAAGTTTATTTTATTCGAAGATCCAGATTGGGTGTGGAATTATATGATCAAGATTTTGAAGGATGCAGTGTATAAAATATGGAATATTTTGAGTACAGCAATTAATTTATTATACATTCTATCCACAGCTGGTATAGGTACCATAATGTTTGGATGATGGGCTAAAAGAATGGTTCCAGAAAAATACGGGGTGCAATAAATACACTAAAGCTAAATTTAAACATAATAATCAAACTTCTCTTTAAATACCCTTCCTTCAATTATAGAAGAGAAATTACTAACATAGCTTCAATTGTTCAAAAGGGAGGGGATGTTAGATACAAGTTGGGTAGGTACCTAACCACATATATACACAAACTTAAACATTAATACTGTAAATTAAATAATTTCTAAGTATTAAAATGAACATTTGTCTTCCCTGCTAGGACCAGTACAAGAGTTACGGGAAGACTATAAGAAAGATGATAACAGACTGCCTGCAGAAAGATCCCACTAAGCGCCCCACTGCCTCAGAATTACTCAAACATCCATTTTTCAGAAAAGCCAAAGACAAGAAGTACTTGCAGTCTGTATTATTGCAGGGGGGGCCATCGATAGAGGAAAGAGTCGCCAAGGTAAGACCCTAGTTTGTTTTAAGGGGCTGGGATGACTTCAGAAGGTAGGTTAAGCAAGAGCTTTGTACTTGTGAAAGAGAGTCGTGCTGTCCTTGTCATATTTTTTTTATAACATGAATGTTATTTATTTTATACTTTTGTTTTTCTGCTTCCAGGATGAACCCTTCTTAAGACGGAGGGTGAGTTTAGATTCCAATGAGATGATTAATATTTAATCATTCATTATTAAGATGGACCCTTTCCTCGGAACAACCCTTAGATTTCCTCCTTCGGCAGGTGAAACCATGACTGACGTATGATATAAAATTCAATTTTGTGTTGCGTTTTCTCCTCTAAAAATTCTTTTCTTTGGTTATTGGCAGTTCTGTCATTCTAAATTTATATAACTTATTAGTTACAGTATTTAATATTTTTCTTTTTTCTTTGCTTGTATTTCATTCCTTTGTTTTTTCTGCCTTCATTTTATGCTATATTCTGTTTGGTGTTGCATAGGATGGCCCTTGGAAGGCCTGTGCCAGACATTTGGGCACCTGCTAAATATTATATATTTTCCTCCTTATTTACTTTGTATGCTCTTAAAATTTTATTTTCTCTAGAATTACAATTATAGAACACTTTTCCTAGTTGTAGATTTTAGAAGCTTCATTATTTTTCACCATTTACACAGAATTAGGTATCGGATACAGTATTAAGTTTTTTCTTTATCAGTTACATCAAGAACTTTCACATATAAGTAAGCCAAGACTGTCCCGTCTTGAGTATTGCTTGATACTCGCTTCCCCCTTCAGAGCGGGAGTGCTGAAATAGAGGAATACAGAGAACATATACGACATACATAGATGCGATAAAGCACTTAAATTATTGGGATTGTCTCAAAACTCTCCAAATGTACTCACTAGAAAGTAGATGAGAGAGATATAAAATAATATACACATGGAAAATACTGGAGGGCCAGGTCCCAAATCTACATAGTAAAATAATAAAATAATAACATTCTGGAGTGAACGATATGGAAGAAAATGCAGACTAGAACCAGTGAAGAGCAGGGGTGCCATAGGCACAATCAGAGAACACTGTATAAACTTCAGAGGTCCACAGTTTTTCAACATTCTCCCAGTGAGCATAAGAAATATTGCCGGAACAATCGTGGACGTCTTCAAGAGAAAACTACATAGTTTTCTTCAAGAAGTGCCGCACCAACCGGGCTGTGGTTGACATGTGGGCCTGCGGGCCGCTCCAAGCAACAGCCCGTTGGACCAAGCTCTCACAAGTCAAGCCTGGTTCGGGCTGGGCTTGGGGTGTAGAAAAACTCTCAGAACCCCATCTAGGTACATCCAGGTTCATTTATTGGATATAAGCATGCCATATATCCGTGTTACTATTGGATAGTTTAGAAAAAGTTGAAAGTGTACAGGTGTCACCACACCACTATTGTTGGTGTGCAGGCATTGTCTACTCCTCATGTGAGTCATCTGGGTTTGCTGTTGCTAGTCGTATCTTGTTCAGCTCTTTCATCCTTCGCTGCAAGTTACCAATTCTAGTGTCATATTACAATATCTATATTATTTGTCATAATACAGTATTACACAAAATTCTAGCCAGCTTCATAGTTTAAATACGAGTGTCCAATTTTTTATGTACATTGCCACACATGAGGTTTATGGTGTACTGTTAGTGGTCTTTTGTACCACTGTCAGGAGGTTTATGGTGTACTGTTAGTGGTTTTTTTGTACCACTGTCAGGAGGTTTATGGTGTACTGTTAGTGGTTTTTTTGTACCACTTGTCAGGAGGTTTATGGTGTACTGTTAGTGGTTTTTTGTACCACTTGTCAGGAGGTTTATGGTGTACTGTTAGTGGTTTTTTTGTACCACTGTCAGGAGGTTTATGGTGTACTGTTAGTGGTTTTTTGTACCACTGTCAGGAGGTTTATGGTGTACTGTTAGTGGTTTTTTTGTACCACTGTCAGGAGAGCAACACTTGCTGGGCTCTCTCCCAACACTGTCCATACTATGCTGCTGACATTGTACCACTGTCAGGAGAGTAACACTTGCTGGGCTCTCTCCCAACACTCCATACTATGCTGCTGACATTGTACCACTGTCAGGAGAGTAACATGTATATAATACTCACCCAACACACTATACTGCACTACAAATTTAATATATTTTTCTTTCATTCATTATACAGTATTCAAGTGAATACCGTTTGAATAAATTTTCAACAAGTGTACAGTATTTTGTGTTCTCTTTCTCTCCCATTCAGAAACTAACTAGTCTTTTTGTGGGTAGCCCTGTCATCTCCCTGAAGCTCTCATACACATATCAGTGCCATACTACTTGGTGCCTTCAGTAGCAAAGTTGTATTTGCCTACCGGGGACCACAAACCAGAACCTGGTCTCTTCAGAGAAGTGCAGGGAGTGATGGCCTATGATCACTTTATATTTATACACTAGTCTTATATCTATATCTGTCTGGGCATTTGGAGTGACCATTCATACACATTCCAATGTTGTTGGGTATAGTATAAACTTCTCTGGTGAAGGTGTCTTTGAAGGTGGTCTTTGGTTCTCATTTAGACATTGAGAAAAAGGAGTGCACCATCGATGCCCAGTTCATGGGTAAAGTTAAGCACTGAGTTTTGGGTAAGTAGATTTTTTAATCGCGACATTTCCTAGGTCTTTCACACATATGAATATATCATCAATGTATCTGCAGTAGATGCCAGGCTTACCTGTGGTTTTGAAGATGGTGTCTTTTAGTATTCCAATATAAAAGTTAGCAAAGAGGACTCTTAGTGGGGGCCCCATGGCTACTCTGTCTGTGTACATATACTTGCCTCCCCAAGGGGTTGTAAATCACATTTTTGGTGAAAATCTCCAGAAGATTACAGAGGGCAGACTGAAATGTCTAGCTCTGGAGTAGTGTCTACCACGTGACAATACTACTAGGTTGAGAGACCCAGTTGGATACCAGTGGTGTATTGCTTGGGACCCCCCTCTTATTGTGAATATTCCTAGTAAGGCAGGTAGAGCTCATGTCTTCCACTCGGGTGGATGTGAGTATGAGGCTTCAATGGTGCGAGCGAATGAAATGCTATTTCCAGTTTATTGTAGTTTGCAATTTATATGATTAACACTTGGATCACCTAATATCTCCAGACTTAAGTGATATTTTGAAGAAGCCATAGACAGAGTGCCTATGCACTCCAGGCCTTGATCCTTGGAACTCTATATTCTTACAGAACTGTAAAAAACCAGCGTTGCATGTAATGAAACATCATTTTCTGGGTGAGTCCTGGAGGCTCCCTGGAACTATCAGTCTGATATATGCTATACTAGTCTGGGGCTTCAGTCACATGGAGTTCTGCCTACTGGGAACCACAAGCCAGAACCTGGCTCCCCCAGAGAGGTGCAGGGAGCAATAGCCTATGAAAACTCCACTCTGAGAGTATATTCATGTCTGTCATCGACCAGAGTTAGACACCCAGAAAGGTAGGCATCCCAAAATAAACTCCAACTGGTAGAAAATTGCAACCCAAGACCGAACAGAGCCCAAGAACTTCTCCCAAGAAAAAATGCAACCCAACAAAATGTCATCAGACTGACGTGCTGTCCCCCCCCCTTCCTCCAGTGGTAGGCCGCTTCCCCCTACCAATTCGGAGACTGAGCCTGAGCAAACGAAAACAAAAATTGCCAACCAGAGGGAGAGAGAGTGCTAGGGAGCCTCTGGGGTTCTCCCAGAAAATTCTGTTTCATTACATTCAGTGCTGGTTTTCTGTGGGGAGCCCCGTCAGCTCCCTGGAACTAGATACCCAAAAATAAGTAAAAGAGGGACTTACTCATGAGGTTGCAGCACCGCATTCATCATGACGAAGATGGGACAACTGGCTACAACTGATGACCCAAGGTCACACAACGCCGCCCAGAACATTCACAAGATAACGGGTGGCCAGAACCCTGTTTGGCCCCCAAAACTCCCGTGCCTGTATATCAACCCAAGACATGTTACCAAAGACGGCGGCAAGAGCCGCAAACTTCCGAACATCATGGGCACGAGGGTAGACCGCAAGACTTGATAACCCTGCGGACAATCTGAGAGACCCAAGCCCTGGAACAAGTGAAATCAGATCAACCCAAAGCGCATCCCCGGACACAGAACCCAAGGTGCGCAGGTAGCGGCGGAGAGCCGCAATTGGATACAAAATATGATGCACCCCCGGCCTGACCAACCAAGCATCAATCACCCAAGGACCCCTCTGGAAGCCCGCCGTCTCATTCTTTGTCAGAAAAGGATATGGCTGCAAACGAACAAATTGTCCACCAGGACCGAAAGAGCAGAAAACCCTGTGTCGGAGGAGAGCATGAAGCTCACCATCCCGAACCCCTGAGGCCAAAGCCATCAAAAGTAAAACCTTCTGAAAACAATCTCGGACTGAAGAGGGCCAAAACAAACCGAGGAAAAGAGAGAAAAAAGAGCACCAGATCCAAAGACCAGGAAGGCTCAGGCGGCACATGAGCAGGCCGTAGGTGGAAAACGCACGAGAAAACTTATGGAATGGAGCCAAAGTGACATCCACCCCGAACACAAGGTGGAGCGGCTCCACCAGCACCGCTCGATAAGAGGCGACAGTATTCGGCATAAGATGTCGATCCTGAAACAGCCAAGAAAGGAAAAAGAAGACAACATGAACAGAAACAGAAGGCAACCTACGAAGAGAAAGGAAGTGGCAATAGTAATGCCAAGAGACTTCATACTGTCGCTGAGAAGAAGACTGCAAGTGGGACACAAAGAGAAACCCACCTGGTCACTATACAAGTGGTAGATACACATGCGTTAATAATACCAGACGCGAAGAACGGAAGAGTAGATCGAACCAGCAAGGTACTTTACCGGCCCGATCTGCCGAAAGAGGTGGAGCTGGGGAAAATGCCACGGGTTTGGACACCGAGCAAGCAGCGACAGAAACCAAGGCTGGGCTGGCCACCATGGGGCCAGAAGGAGAATCCTCCCCCGATTGGACTCCACCCAAGCCAGAACCCAAAGCAACAGTTAGACCAGGGGAAGAGGTACAGGGACCCTCCCCCCATCTTGACCAGTCCTGACAAAAACCATCAACATTTGGGGAAGGGCGCCACATACACTAGGAGACGCCACGACCACACTGACACAAAGAGGTCC